CCTAGTACCCACATTTGGAACCGTCTCCTTACCCGGATTCTCTATCGGTCCCTCCCTTACTTCCAGTCGGCAACCTGGATGGGTCGGTCTGCCCAGGCTTTAGGTGCCTGAAGAACGCTCTCTCCTTGGTCCATACTTTTAGAGCATATTCTTTTTTTCTCTAGTGCGACAACCCGGCGGTTCGGCTAGTATGTCCTTCGCCATAGAACCTGGTCGCTCAGTTCTCCGATCTTGGGCCTAGTTCGAATTTAGCCTTCCTGTGGTACCATTGAAGATTATTGCTACATCTCAACTCGGGTCTTGCCAAACGGGTTTTCGGTTATTCCAGTTCCTCAGATTTATTGCGCCGAAGCTCCCATTACTAGATGGTGTGACCGAGATTACAGATTAAGATCCAACTGATAATCAACAACTGTTAACCGTACGCAGATCCATTTTTCAAAATCATTGTCCATGGAATTCAAACTCTAGACCTGCCACTTGGGAGGGTAACAACTAACCAACTACACTAAGTCACCATACCTTATATATATATATTTTTACTGATGAAAGATAATAGTAAATATTATACTTTTTACTATATTTTGTTACTGGTTCTTAGATGGATTATGAATTAAATAATTAAGAGTAGAGAGTATATAAATCATTTATATTAATAGATGAGTGACTAAAAATATTTTTACTGCAGATTAAAAAGTTGCTACATATAAAAATTAATTTTTTACTATATAAATTATATTTACAGTATATACTAAGTAAAAATATTTACAATAAAAAATTATACATATTCTAAAAATTTTATTAATTTTGAATAAAATTTGATAAAGTTTGCATAGTAACAACTTTTGCAAGAGCAGGGTCTATACTGTGGGGGTGATTACAAATTGACCAATCAAATCATATAAAAATTATAAGTAAAATAAGGTTATGAAGATAAAAACAACTATGTCTCATGATTGACTAAACCAATTTTAATGATTTGACTACTATTAGAATCAAAAAAACCCTCCTCTACAATTTTATTAAAAAATTTAAAATGGTTGTTTAATAAAAAATTTCTTTATTATTAAATATAAAATTTTTTAGCAACTAGTTTATTAATAAAAATGATCTATATACTCTACTCTTAAGATATGAGCTATAAAATTAAGGCATTAATTTCTTAAAAAATGTCAATTTGGAGATTCGGAATGGTGGGATAATATTTGGAATTTGGAATAATATTTGGTGATATTTGGAATTTGGGATAATATTTGGGATTTGGGATAGATTTGGGATTTGGAATTGGGATTTGTCTAGTTTGGGCTTATGGGATTTCAAGTATAATTGGAAAATCCCATTTGTCCGGGTTTGTCCATGGAAAACCCCAAATCCCAAACATTTTGTGCGGCATGTATAGGCTAGGGTACTCTTTTTAATGCAATCATGCGTCATCAATTGTAAACATACTTTATTCGTATTGATAAGTTTAATAGATATATATAGTATTACTGTATTTAGGTATTACTGTATTTATCGATGATTTATCTCAACTTAGCAATTAGATTCATAACCTCAAATGATTTCAATGTGACACATAATTAATTAAAAGGTTATGTCCAGATAATATATATAACTTTTATCAATTTTCGAGACTGTGACTTATACATCTTCTAAAATAGTATTTTAATGCACAGACGTAGGAACGTTCCAAATTTAAAAAATGTACAAAATTTTCGTACGTATAAATGTACGCAGTATTATAAAGAATTTTGTATGTTACTGTTACAAGAGTACGCTTGTACTATAGTACTGTACTACTTTATTTGTTACTTATAAATGACAGTAAACAAATTAACTTTTAAATAAGGATCAAGGTTCCGGTAAAAAGTAGAAAATGTTTTAAGATCTGCCAAGAAGTATTTAAGCTTTCCTTCAATTGATACATTCATAATTAAAAATATTTAAATAATCAGAATAGGTGTTAAGTAGTTAAAAATATGTCAACTACCGCTAGAGCCTTAATATCTCATAATGCCTCTGTTGAGCTGAGAATTACTTTAAAAATAGTTCCTAAATTGGACCTTCCCTCCCAGTCTAATCCTCAAATTTTCTTATTATTGCAAGATTCACAGGGAAGTAGATTGATAAACCATTCACACAATAAATTAGGACATATTGAAAATGAACCTAATTTCAGTTTTATCCTCGAGTATCGTTTTGAAGAATTACAAAATATTAAAATTGTTGTGGCTAACGGTGATAAATCTTTGAATTTGGAATCTCAAGGTTCAGCTCCGAATGAGCAAGGACTCATAGGAGAATTTGTTACAGACATAGGATCTATCCTAGGAAAGTCGAAAAGGAACCTTGAAGGAGATCTTGTTTTAACGGAACGTTCTCGAGGCCAGATTAGCATTTCTGGCCGTGAACTTCCACCTAAAAATGGTAAATCACTTAATTTAAAAGTTCAAGGTCTTAATCTCCAACTACCGTCACTCGCTAAACCTGATGTATTTTATAAGTTGAGTCGCAGAATTAAAGGAAATTCAGATATTAATAGTGATGTGAGAGTTCTTCATGAAAGTGAAAGATATTATTCTAGAAATCCAGATTGGTCTGTAATAAAATTATCCGAAGGAGATTTACTGAATGGAGGATCTAATGATGAGGTCTGTTTCACTTGTTGGCAACATAAACGCGATGGTAATCATAAGAGCATTGGAGAGTGTGTGCTCAAAATTGATAAACTCTTGTCATCAAATAAAGTAAATAAAGTTTCACTCACACCTAAAGGAGAATTATTGTTACAATGTGCATCTGAAAAAACATTTCTTGGCTATATTGCAGGTGGTCTTGAAATACGACTAAGTATAGCAATAGACTTTACATCATCCAATAGACATTATATATACGGAGTTGATTTACATGATATTTCTTCTGACGAAACTAATTATGGACGCATAATTCGTTTTATAGGAAGCGTTTTGGAAAGTTATAGTACTGATGGTCAAATTCCAGTTTATGGATTTGGGGGTAAATTTTATGGATCAGGGGAAGTCTCTCATAACTTCCCTTTAAATCAAAAGAATCATCAACCTGAAGTTTTTGGGATTTCAGGAGTGCTTGAAATTTATAAAAAAGCATTAGAAAATGTAATATTATTGAGGCCTTCCAAATTCGCACCTACAATTCAGTCTGCTATTAACAGGTTGAAGTCACTTGCAGACGATCCGAAAGTATATGAAGTTTTGCTCATAATTACATATGGAATGATAGATGACATGGAATCAACTATAGAAACAATTATGCAAGCTAGTGTCTTACCTCTCTCAATTATTATTATTGGTGTAGGTACAGCGGATTGCAAGGAATTAGCGGATTTTAAAAGTTATAACTGGGGAAATTTAAATCCACGAGATATAGTGCAATTCGTTGCAATGAAAGATTTTGAAAATCAAAACCAAATAAATATAGATTTACCGAAGGCGGTTTTAAAGAAAATTCCAAGTCAAGTCATGAATTATATGTTACGGAAGGAATTACCGTGACAACAACAGAAACTTTTGATAATCTTTTTGTAGAACTGATCTTCCGATTCTACTCAACAAATTGAATTGAGTAAAAGATAGAAAAACTTTCCAGCTATATAAGAAATACCTTTAAATATATATATATTATTTTTTATATAAGATGGAATTATCCTACCTGGATCATGATCTTTATAGCACCCGACCCATTTTTATCAGTAGATAAAATTTAGCAAATTCGGAATAATTGTATATTTAGTAAAATATTTATTACTTGTGCATATGTATTATAGCATAAAAAGATCAGGACCTATGGCAATTATCATTGTTATATGATGGAGCTAGTTTTTCATGTAGTTATAATTTGTTAGAATTATTACTAATATTAGTAATAATCACTTTAGGCCATAAATATTAGCTTTTTGTTCTCATTAACCTGCAAATATCTAATTTTTTTTCAATTTTTAGTTTGTTTTGCAGCACTATCAAAGATCTTTACTGCTTTCTTATTTGGGGTTTGCCAAGCTGTTTTGGGTTTTTTAGTTCTCTCTATTAGTTTTATATGTTTTGTCTTGAGTTTACATCACCTAAACTGGTTTGCATTTTTCTATATAATAAATACTTTCAAAATCTTCTAGTATACAAAGTGTATTGATATAATTAGAGTTACAGATATAGAACCCAACTACTATATAATACTTGATAAAGTATCCTAGATATACAGTATACTAGAAAACTCATACTAATATCTTCTTGGGCACTGTGAATACTATGTATAGAAGTACTATATTTAGTAGAGTATTATATAGATTGATCAAACTATATTGATATCTGAAAAATATGTTTTTTTAAAAAACAAAATACAATATATTATTTAATACTTCACTATGATCAGTTTATAAAATAAATCAATTATTTTATGGTATTTTTAAAT